AGACGTCATAGTAAGGCATAAAAATATATTTTTTAAAAAGTCATAGTATAGTATGGCATAAAAATGAAAAAAACGTCATAGTATAGTATGGCATAAAATAAAAAAGTCAGTATAGTATGGCATAAAAATGAGAATAAAAGTCATAGTATAGTAAGGCATAAAAATATTTTTTAAAAACATCATAGTATAGTATGGCATAAAATAAAAAAGTCAGTATAGTATGGCATAAAATAAAAAAGTCAGTATAGTATGGCATAAAATAAAAAAGTCAGTATAGTATGGCATAAAATAAAAAAGTCAGTATAGTATGGCATAAAATAAAAAAGTCAGTATAGTATGGCATAGAAATGAAAAAAAATGTCATAGTATAGTATGGCATAAAATAAAATAAAAATGTCATAGTATAGTAATGCATAAAAATGAAAAAGAATGTCATAGTATAGTATGGCATAGAAATGAAAAAAAATGTCATAGTATAGTATGGCATAAAAATGAAAAAAAATTCATAGTGTAGTATGGCATAAAAATGAAAAAAAACGTCGTAGTATAGTAAGGCATAAAAATGAAAAAAACGTCATAGTATGGCATAAAAATGAAAAAAACGTCATAGTATAGTATGGCATAAAAATGAAAAAGACGTCATAGTATAGTATGGCATAGAAAATTAAAAAAAGTCATAGTATAGTATGGCATAAAAATGAAAAAAACGTCATAGTATAGTATGGCATAAAAATGAAAAAAACGTCATAGTATAGTAAGGCATAAAAATGAAAAAAAACGTCATAGTATAGTATGGCATAAAAAATGAAAAAAAACGTCATAGTATAGTATGGCATAAAAAAAATTAAAAATAACGACATAGTATAGTATGGCATAAAAATGAAAAAAAACGACAGTATAGTATGGCATAAAAAAAAAAAAAACGACATAGTATAGTATGGCATAAAAATAAAAAAAAACGTCACAGTATAGTATGGCATAAAAATAAAAAAAAACGTCACAGTATAGTATGGCATAAAAATAAAAAAAAACGTCACAGTATAGTATGGCATAAAAATAAAAAAAAACGTCACAGTATAGTATGGCATAAAAATAAAAAAAAACGTCACAGTATAGTATGGCATAAAAATAAAAAAAAACGTCACAGTATAGTATGGCATAAAAATAAAAAAAAACGTCACAGTATAGTATGGCATAAAAATAAAAAAAAACGTCACAGTATAGTATGGCATAAAAATGAAAAAAAAGTCATAGTATAGTAAGGCAAAAAAAACTATCATAGAATAGTATGAAATAAAAAGTCATAGTATAGTAATGCAAAAAAATATTTAACAGAAATGTCATAGTATAGTATGGCATAAAAATGAAAAAAACGTCATAGTATAGTAAGGCATAAAAATGAAAAAAAACGTCATAGTATAGTATGGCATAAAAATGAAAAAAACGTCATAGTATAGTATGGCATAAAAATGAAAAAACGTCATAGTATAGTATGGCATAAAAATGAAAAAAGACGTCATAGTATAGTATGGCATAAAAATGAAAAAAAATGTCATCGTATAGTATGGCATAAAAATGAAAAAAAAGTCAGAGTATGGCATAAAAATGAAAAAAATGTCATAGTATAGTATGGCATAAAATTAAAAAAAAAATGTCATAGTATAGTAAGGCATAAAAATGTAAAAGAACGTCATAGTATAGTAAGGCATAAAAATATTTTTTAAAAACATCATAGTTTAGTATGGCATAAAAATGAAAAAAATGTCATAGTATAGTATGACATAAAAATGAAAAAAAACGTCATAGTATAGTAAGGCATAAAAATTTATTTTTCAAAAAGTCATAGTATAGAATAAAAATGGAAAAAAAGTCATAGTATAGTATGGCATAAAAATAAATTTAAAAAAAAGTCATGGTATAGTATGGCATAAAAATGAAAAAAAAGTCATAGT